ACCCTAGTAAACTTCTTAAAAGTGTGTCCAGCGTTCCTCCGCCCGACAGAGCAGCAGTTTGGTGGTGGCATGCCAGGTTGTATTGATGGTTGTGTTGCACTACATAAGCACGAAAAGTAGTTCGTACTCATACCACAAGTACAGCAACCATGTCAGGAACGCTATGACACTTATCTGGGAGTCTGCACGAAGGTAGGACGTCCATGGCGTGGTAGTTCGCACCTCAATATTCAAAATTAACGCATACCGATTCAGTCACGAAATATACCGATTTGGCATTTAAAATTGATTTCATACCGACTTGGTCATTTTCCCGTTTGTGCACTACTTAGTGCTCGTTGACCATTCACGGCTTATAGCAATTCGTACTCGAGTACGATTTATAACGGATTTTTACGAATAGTGGCCGGACTTGTTTTTATTAGTAGCCTCCGAACTTTGATCGACTTAGACAGGGGGTATAATATTCGTAAGAGGGCTACTAACTGTTAGCAATATCGACGCCACCCTCTGCTTCATGCAACTTGGCATGGTCTTACCTGGTACCATGCAACTTCACCCCCGCCGCACCTGAAAACCTCCGTCCAGCGAATACACCACAGCATCAGTGTTGCGATTGTACACTTCGCAGTCTCTTGGCTGGGTACACATGGACATCGTAGGATGACATGCACAATTGAGGAGTCCTCAATGAGGACGACACGCACAATTGAGGACGAGACGCACATTTGGGGACGACATGCACATTTGAGGACGGCATACACAAGTGAGGACTGACTGTACTATTGAGGACGACACTAATCTAGGACTTGAGAGTAGGAAGATTTGTCTGACTCAAACTTGATCACTTTCGGATTTCCTTCCAAACCAACAGGCCTCGTTCGCATACTCGCAAAAATCAGAACAACATGAGCTCGTTTGATGCTCACGTAGACCCAGAATTTCATTACTGCTCTAAGACCGGTCTTTTATTCGTAGCGGTCTTTTATTTCTAGAACGCTCTTGAAAAATAGCGGGGGTCTTCTAATAGTAAGGGGTCTTCTAATCGTAAAATTCCGTTAGATAAGTCGTGTTCGATCAGTCGTATTACTTACGTACTACGTAGTACGAGTTACAGTCCGAAGTGCCAAAAAGTATGCAAAGCACAATACTAACATTGAGTTTTCAAGAAGCGCTACCAGTCCAATCCTCTGGTTGTACCATACTGCAGTCAGTTCTTACCTCGTACATTAAACCACAACGCGACGAGACCAATCAATCGAAAGACAATCCCCAGCACTAGCAGCATCACTCCGTCGAACTCGGCCGACAGGCTGTTCATGCTGAAACAGGCCTCTTGTTTTGCCCGGCTGTTAGCGTCGGTCGTTTGCAGTCGTCGCCCAAAGTCCAACACCTGTAGGCCAGCCGGAACTCTCGTCCCTATTTATTAATGTCACTACAGCTTCGTTCGTCTCACTCAGCTCGTCCGTCTCGTTCGCCTTGTCCGTCTCGTTCGTCTCGCTCAGCTCGTTCAGTTTGTCTGCCGTGCTTGGTCCGTCGGTGTCCGTCACTAACCTCACCCACAGCGCGCGTTCCGGACTGTTGGGTGGCGCCGACCCCGTAGCCGTCGCCAGCCTCACCCGCACCCGTGCTCTGGTCTGTTGATCAGCGGCGGCACGAAGCCGTCCCTCGACACCTCGCACTCGCTGCTCGTCTGCTCGTCCGCAACCAACAGGGGAGAAACTTCCTGTGGCCCGCTTCGTCACTTGCCCTGACCTGCGCCCTTGGCCGCAAATTCTGTTCTGACTGCTCTCTGTTCTGCACTCTGTCGCTCTCTCGCTTCTTCAATGTTGACTCGACACTGCTGTCACTCAACTCCACACTATTTGGCCCGATTTCCAACTCGCCGCTTTTTCCATACTGAGGCCAAGTCAAAGTCACCGATTTTGATTGGTCCAAACTTACGCCACCGAATCCCGATCTCGGACCTCTCCTGGGCGCTTCGTTCTCCGCTTGCACGCCACTGGCTGCATGGGGTCAACCCCACTCACGTGCCAGGCACAGCTGCCTGCTGGGAGTTCACTCGCACCACTACACTGTTACACGCCTTCATCCACTCCAGAGTCTTCCACGACTCTGCCGGCCTGGAAGAACGCGTCGTATTCTCGGACTAGCAACGCAATCCTTCCTTGTCCTATGGAACCGCTCGACTAATCCGATCATCTGGGGTCGGTACGGCACTGGGTTGATCTGCTGCGCCTGGAGCAGGATGACCAGTCCCTCGATCACCTTACCCGTCAACTCAGGGGCGCCATCCGTCAACAACTCGCGAAAAGGTCCGAACTTGAACACCACATGCTTCATCAAAAACTCGGCCACGTTCTCGGCCGTGTGCTGCTTCACCGTCACCGCAACCGCGTAACGTGTGACGTACTCGAGTGCCGCAATAACGTAGCGCTGTCCGCCGTCGCTCATCGGCAAAGGCCCTGCTACATCCAATGCCCACCGGTCGCCGACGTCTCCGCCCTTAATGCTTCGAAGCGGAGGTACGATCTCACGTGGCCTTGCTTTCCGACTTCCACATTCCTGGCAACCGCGTACCCATTGCTTCACTTCATGTAGTAGCCCTGGCCACCAACACACTTGCGCGATCCGTGCGTGGGTATGGGGAGCTCTCAAGTGTCCCGCCCACACGGAGTCATGACTCTCCTTGAAGACAATAGGCCACAGCTCTGGCGGCAGCACCACACGCCGTCCGTGCGCGGTGTTGACCAGCACCAAGGCGTGTCTCGATCGTCATCCCCTTGTGCTCGCCGGCGCTCACCAGCCGCTGTACTAACCGACTCTTCTTTTGCGCCGCCGCAATGTCTTCGTCCGTCAGCTGGAGCGTCTGCACGCCCACGCGCTCAACCGTGTTCCCATTTGCTGGTGTCGTCTGCATCCCGTTATCACGTTTCGTCACCGCCGACTCATTCATTACACCGTCGCCGCCGCGTATGGGCCCTACGCGCGGTCCTTCGTCACCTGGTGTCCTCCGTCGCACCGCTGTATCCATCCGTCGCCGTTCACCTCGTCGTCCTTCATCGCTGTCTCTCGTCTTCGCCACCTGCAGCTTCGGGTCGGCCGTCTCCGCCGCGCCGCTCGTCTCCGTACCCGCCATGAACTGCACTTCACGCGATTCCGCCGGTGTCCTCTTCAGTGCCTCTCGTCTCGTCATGGGCGTCTCCCCGGTTCTCATTGCTGTCACCGTCGTCGGTTTCGTCGGCTTGCGCTTCGCGCTCGAGCTGGCAACTGCACGCTCGCTGTTTCGTCATTTTCCCACCTGGCCGTGCTTCTCGTGTTGCTGCGTCGCCATCCAGCTGGCTGTTGCTCTCATCGCCACCGACCACGTCGCTAGCCCACGTCACTCGCTTTCGCCGTGATTCTTCACCACCATTGGTCGCCTTCTGCTGCTGGGTGTTGTCGTTGTGCTCGGCCACCACGGCATCTGCTTCGTGCTGCCCGTCATCATCTCCGCCCTCACGTAGTTGTCCCTCACTGCCTACCGCAGCAGCCGCTCGCTGTTTAGCTTTCCGCCGCCGGCCAATAGCCGCTAGCACCGTTGCAGTCATTGGTGCTCGTGACAAGGCGTCTGCGACCACGTTCGTCGTTCCCGGTCGGTACTGCACTTCGAAGTCAAACTCTTGCAGCGTTAGCGCCCACCGGTGTAGCTTCCCCGTTAGATTTGGACTCGTCATGAGCCATTTCAGCGCTGAATGGTCCGTAATGATAGTAAAGCGGCGACCGTACAAATATGGCCGGAATAATTTGATCGACCAGACCACCGCCAGACATTCCAGCTCGGTGATCCCGTAGTTTGCCTCCGTTACGCTGTTTACCTTGCTCGCGTACGCCACTGGTTGCCATCCGTCTTCACGATTTTGCATGAGGCATGCGCCGAGCCCCACTTTGCTTGCGTCAGTTACCAACCGAAAGGGTATAGAGAAATCAGGGTAGATCAAGAGAGGTCGACTGGTCAAAACCTCCTTCACCTGCCCGAACGCCGTCTGCTGCGTACTCGTCCACTCCCATTCCACTCCCTTCCGTAACAGTTTGGTCATGGGCGCCATGATGCCGCCAAAACCTTCGATGAAGCGACGGTAATACCCCGCCAAGTGCACAAAGCGCTTCACTTCAACAGCGTCTCGTGGTTGTGGAAAATCTCGCACCGCACTCACAATCCGATCCAAGGCCGTACACCATCTGCGCTCAGTTCGTGCCCTAGGTATTCCATCCGTCGAGCCGCAAACACACACTTCTTGAGCTTCAGTGTGAGTCCTGCCGCCGCGAGCCTCTCCAGTACGCAAGCCAGCTCCAAGATGTGCCGCTCAATTCCTCCCCGTGTATAAACCACAATATCATCTAGATAGACTAAGCAAGTAGCCCATGAGTCCTCGTAGTACATTGTTCATCATGCGTTGAAAGGTTGATGGTGCGTTAGTAAGTCCAAACGGCATTCGGACGAACTGGTACAACCCTTGCTTCGTTGTGAAGGCAGTCTTCGCCTTATCCTTCTCAGCGACGCGAATCTGCCAGTATCCAGCCTTTAGATCCAAGGTGCTGAACAATAAGGCGCCACCGAGTGCCTCGAGAGTCTCGTCAATTCGCGAAAGAGGATACACGTCCTTCTTTGTAATCTTGTTGAGTGCACGATAGTCGACGCAGAAGCGCACCTCGCCGTCCTTCTTACGCACCAACACGACCGGAAAACCCCACGCTCCGTCGCCTTGCTCGATCACACCAGCTGCCAGCATCTTTTTCACATTAGACTCAATAACGGAGTCCTCTGTTTGTGCCTGCCGTCGCCTCTTCAACATGATGGGTGTAGCGTCGCCCGTATCGATGTGGTGTTCTGTGCTGAGCACCGTAGCAGGTGGACAATCGCCTGTGTCTGTCGTCAGCTGCCGGTACACACGCAACAGCCGCACGATCATCGCTCTGCTCTCGTCGTCCTCGGTGCCGATGTTTACGTCCTGCTCATTTTACAGCGGCTCGTTGCTACCTCCCAATCCATTCACCCACTCATTGATCCGTTCACGCCGCAGCTCGCCATTCATTTGCAATAGCTCTACGCTACTGTCGAGCGGTATCCAATGCCCGAGCTCTTGCCTCGCAGGCAATCGCACTGGTCCCTGCTTCGCATTCACCGCCGGTACTATCGCCTTGCCGTTCTGGACCTTCGTTACGGTCACCGCCAGCATCACCGCACCGGTGTACTTCGTAGGCAGGAAGACGCCCACTTCTCCATCATTTGCCGCTACCGACACCTCGACTGGTGTCACTGCGCTCGCGCCAATCTCCGTCCGTCGCACCATTCGTACAGCGGCTACACGTGCTCCGTTAGCGTCACCACTTGTTCTGAACGGGATGACCACTGCTCGTCTCGCCGTAGTGTAGCGAACTTCATTCCTGTCGAAGTCCATGATCGCTCCATGCCCACGCATAAAGTCGACACCAAGTAGAAATTCGTCCGTACACCCAGACACAATACATGCCTCCACGCGAATGATCTCACCAAAGACACTGCGCATGTGGAACTCCCACACACCCATTACGTCCAACAAGAAGCCACCAATGCCCTCTAAGTAGTCGACAGGGGCTGCTCTCTCGACTCTGTCACCGTACTGCATCCACTCGGTGCCAGCCACCGTATACCTCGCTCCACTGTCGAGCTTCACGTGTCTCCTCGCGCCCGACACTTCCATGATCGCAGTGGGGAGCCCGTCGTCCGCACCGATGTACTCTACGGTCTCACCTCGAACTGTCCTCTGCTCGACTTCCTCGCCGCGGTGCTGTACAAGGCTGACTCGTGCCGGCTTCCCTTGCTGCCGCACTCGTCCCTCAGCTTCGTCGCGTGCGCGTCGCAGTTTACGCTCTTCGAGCTCCTTCACAGCTTCGTCGGCCACTCGCTGCCGCTCCGCCAGTCGCTCGTCGCTCATGCGCTGTTGCTCCGCTGCCTTCTCGCGCTGCACGCTCCGTTTTCGAGCGAGTAGTATTTTGACGCGTTCTCGTTTTGCGCGCTTACGGGCCTTGCGTCGCGCACCGCGTGCCCGATCGACTTCCTCGCCCTCATTGGCGTCTTCGCCCGACTCACTACTCGACGCGTTCGTCTCATCGCAGTCCTTGGTCGCGCTCGATTCGCTCACCGTGGACTCGTTCGTAGACTCGTCATCTACAAGCCTCTCCGTAGGCCCGGACACACTCGTGCTCGTTGCCACCAAGCGCGTCTTTGCCATCCTGCTGCTGACCGTATCGGCCGACGCCGCAGTGTGCTTCTCCGTCGGGAAGTCATCCTTCATTGCCGTCTCGTCCGACCCCGCCGTGTCCGCAGTCATCATCATCATCTCATTCGTCTCGTTCGTCTCGTTCATCGGCGCCGTCGCGCCCTCATTCGTCATCACGCACATGTCCGTCATCACCGACACGCTCGTTTTCGCACTCGTCTTCAGCACCGCCGCCTTCGCCTCCAGAGGCACCGACTGCCGCTCGCAAGGACTGCTTGATCTCGTTGTGTCCTCGCTCGCCGCACTCGTCTGTGCGTCTCCTCCAGCACAGACCGGGTCCGCGCCTTCTCCAGACAGCCATTCGCCGTCGACTTTTCGTGCCGTCTCATTCTCGTCGCGTTGTTCGGGCCGGTGGTCAGCACGCACGTATCGCGCGGCTGCCATCGCCGGATGCACGGTGGCTACGTAGATAGCCGCTCGCGCCCCGTCCTTTGCCTCTGCATCGTTCCTCATCATCTTCACGACCGAAGCCATGCCGCCGTTGTACTGGTGCGTCCCGTCCGTCACCGTGTGCACAGGGGCACGTCTCGTCCTCGTCGTGCACTCATCGTTTTCATTCATCGCATTGGAGTTGGCCTCGCGCGCCGCCTCCCCGTCCCGTTCATCGTCTCGTTCGTTCGTCAACCGCACAGTCATTGCCTGCACGGCCGTCCTCATTCTCGTTGTGTTGGCCGTTTTCGCAACCTTCACTGGTTTCCGTTCATCGTCATCATCCGTCATCAGCTCCTCCAGCCGGGGAATTCCTCCTCGTTTCGGACGCCATACCCCCTCAATCGCGCCCGCTACTCGTTTTCCGCTGCCGTGCGTGGTTTTTGCCCACGCTGCTCCAGATAAGCATCGTTGCGTGCTTTCGCATCAGCATCCGTACACGCGCGTGCGTAGTGGCCGGTCTGATGACACGCGAAACACTTCGGCTCGTTGAGGCACGCCGTTGCCCAGTGACCTGGCTGCCCACAATGGAAGCACACACCACTGTTCGGCTTACCCGTGCCGCTCGTCGTACTGTTCGTCCGCGTCGCAGCCGTCGTCCTCGTCGCTTGTCGCCTCCAGCCTGCTTGACAGCCGCCTCAAACTTCTTGCGCGGTTTGGCGTCCGACTCGTCGCCGCTCGATTCATCCGTCTCGTGCTTAGGTCGCGTCTTGGCCGGTCGCTTACCAGCCGCTCTGCCGCTCGCTTCTGTGGTGTAGTACCCCGCGGAAGAAGTGGGCGCGCCGGGCGCCGGAGGAAGAAGGCGCCGGGACGCGAGTGATGGACTTCGACGCGGCTGATGGAACGCGACGCGGATTGATGGGCGCGACGCAGGGCCGAGCTCGACGGGAAAGTCGGCGTGGGTGATGGGCCGTGAGACACGGTGCCAGAATCCAGTGCGACACGTAATCATCCGACGGGTCGACCAGCGCATCCGGTTCTGCAAAACGCGCCGACCCTAAACCCCGCCGAGCAAGACGCGCCGAGCAAAACGCGCCGACCCTAAACCCCGCCGAGCAAGACGCGCCGAGCAAAACGCGCCGACCCTAACCCCCGCCGACCAAAACGCGCCGAGGTAAGATCTTGATTGCGCCACGCAAACCAGGTTGAAGGACGGCAGTGCAAGCACGACAGAAGTAGGGATAGGCCCAGAGCGGTAGGCTTAGCAAGCAGTAGTACAGAGTAGCCAGTAGCAAGGACATGGATAGGGTAAGGACTCAGTCCCGAAATTTCTCTGAACCACAAAGACCTCCCGTCTTCTCCGAGGTTCCAGGGGAACCACCAAGCGCCGGCAAGTAGAGCCGCCTCGATATCGCGGCCCTCCGTCGTTTGCTGGTTCGGGTGCTCACCCCCCCCCCCCCCCCCACAGACCCGTGCTGGAACAAAGGCACGTTAAACGTATACCGTTTAGGTGGGCGCCAGATAACGCGCTGCCTAGACGAAGGACCGCGCTGGCCTGATAACCGCCGTGCACAAGACCCCCGTGTAGGCCCGATAACGCCACACAAGCCCCAGGAAACGCCGGCCTGATAACGCCGCACGCCCGACGGGAACGCCGAGGAAACGCCGGCCCGATAACGCCGCACGTCCAAGGCTCGACGCCCTACGACAAGGAACAAGCGTCAACACAAGAACCCCCAACTCCGAAGCCTGCGAAGACTTGGGCCTGTATTTCGAAGATACGCTACTCCAACAACCGGGAATAATTTGCTCGGCGCGACCGCTATCCAGACGCGCCGAGTTTGTGCGAGATCGCATTCGCGAGATTTCTGCGAGGGCGCTACTCCACACTTCCTCTCCGTTTTTCGGGGCTCATACCAGTATTTGCCGTTCCAGACGTGTCCTGGAGGCGGATCCCACGTACCAGTCGCCTTATTTTAGACACCTTGAGGGTTAGTAAAGTGCGCCACGTGCTCCATTTCCTTCATGCCCACGACGCCTTCACTCGTGTCCACGTTGCTCAACATTTCGGCTGGTAGGCCCATGCCGCCAATACCAGGTATCGTCTGTCCTGTCGTTCCAGCCATCGGTATCAGGTAAGGCCTCGGCGCCATTGCCCACGGCAAGCCGCTGTTCAACATTCCTTGGGCGACGTTATCCATCGGGTCGTCGATCTCCGTGGCCTTCTCCACGGCCTCTTCCAGCGTCTTCGGCTTCGGTTCCTGCTGGACGAGCTTCCGCGTATTCTTATCCAGACACCGATAAAATTGCGCGAGCAGAACGCGCTCATGCACGTTGTTAGGTCCGATGACGTCGCGCAGCTCAGCCGCAAAGTCTGCATACGTTTCTCCGGGCATCAGTGGGCGCATGTTCACTCGCCACTCTGCCGCCGACTTGTCCTTGCGCTCGCCGTAGCGGCGTAGCAGAGCCTTTTTGAGGTTCGACCAAGTTCTCTTCCTCTTCGGCAGTCTTCGATTCATGCTGACCCACCACTTGGCAGCGTCCTCCATCAATTTGTTGCCTAAGATGTAGTAGAGCGCCGTATCCGACCACTTGCCTCGTCCAGATTCTTCAGCGCCTTGGAGGGCCAGATCGACACGATCGATCCACGTCAAAACAGATACCTTCGGGGAAGGCGTGTAGGTCGGAAGCTCCAGATCCTTGACACTCTTGCGCCGTGGTTCTCGCGCACGTTGCGTTCGTCTTCCGTTCCGTCGGTGCCGTCCGTTAGCATCGGCGTTCGAGCCACCGCCCGAACCGCCGCCATCACCGCCATCGTCGCTGTCACCGTCGCTCTCATCATCTCGGCTGTCGCCGTCGCTGTCGTCGCCCGAGCGCTCTCACTCGAACTGTTGCTTGACTCAGAAGAGCTTCCGCCGTCGTCAGGCGCTCCAAGCGTCACACTCGCACGTTCATCACGTCTCCTTCGTTCACACGTTGCAGATCGTTGTCCGTGCGCCTAATTGCCGCCGTTGGTGGCTGCAGACGTGCGACCATCGTTGTGAACTGCTGCATGGCTGCCGTCGTGGCTGCCAGCTCCGGTGCTATAGTCGCCGTCGCTGTCGCCGTCGTTGTCGTTGTTGGTGAAGTAGTCGGCGGCGCCTCCGTCGTCACTGGACCTGCCGGAGTACGGCTCGCCGCCGTTGAAACGACTTCCACGCGCCGCTGACTGCCACTCATATTCTCCTCGTTGGGCTGCAGCACCACTTCTCGTACCGCGCACTGATGAGCACCCATTTCCGCGCGCGCCTGCCCTCGACTACGCGTGTTTTCCGCAACCTGGACCTGGAGACTTGTCACGACCGTCGTCAACTGGTGCAGCGTAGTGGCGATCGCCGCTACTTCCTCCGCGGGTACCGGTATCGTTCCTTCGTTGCCTCGTCCAGCGTGCTCGCTCGTTATGTCACCCGTTGGCCTTTGACTTGCGTGCTCCTCAGGCTCCGTGCTTCTCTCGTGCGGCTCTTCGGACGCTGGCGCCGGTTCGGACTCCTCGTGATCGGTCGCCTTCGTCTCTTCGTCCTCGTGCTGCTTCGTCTGGCCCGGAGGATCTTGGGTTTCATGCTCATCTTCGTCGTCATCGTCGCTTCGGCCCGACGCGTCGTCGTCATCCGTTCGCGTCAACAATTCCTTGGGTGAGCGTCGGGTGACACGCCTCGACTTCCCGGACTTCTTGTCGCGCGTAGGCACCAAAGTCGCCATGCTCGTTTTCTCCGTCGCTGGGGCACTCTCAAATTCGCTCGCTCTGCTCAATTGAGGCCCCTGTATGACCACCACGAAACAGGCCTCTTGTTTTGCCCGGCTGTTAGCGTCGGTCGTTTGCAGTCGTCGCCCAAAGTCCAACACCTGTAGGCCAGCCGGAACTCTCGTCCCTATTTATTAATGTCACTACAGCTTTGTTCGTCTCACTCAGCTCGTCCGTCTCGTTCGCCTTGTCCGTCTCGTTCGTCTCGCTCAGCTCGTTCAGTTTGTCTGCCGTGCTTGGTCCGTCGGTGTCCGTCACTAACCTCACCCACAGCGCGCGTTCCGGACTGTTGGGTGGCGCCGACCCCGTAGCCGTCGCCAGCCTCACCCGCACCCGTGCTCTGGTCTGTTGATCAGCGGCGGCACGAAGCCGTCCCTCGACACCTCGCACTCGCTGCTCGTCTGCTCGTCCGCAACCAACAGGGGAGAAACTTCCTGTCGCCCGCTTCGTCACTTGTCCTGACCTGCGCCCTTGGCCGCAAATTCTGTTCTGACTGCTCTCTGTTCTGCACTCTGTCGCTCTCTCGCTTCTTCAATGTTGACTCGACACTGCTGTCACTCAACTCCACACTATTTGGCCCGATTTCCAACTCGCCGCTTTTTCCATACTGAGGCCAAGTCAAAGTCACCGAATTTGATTGGTCCAAACTTACGCCACCGAATCCCGATCTCGGACCTCTCCTGGGCGCTTCGTTCTCCGCTTGCACGCCACTGGCTGCATGGGGTCAACCCCACTCACGTGCCAGGCACAGCTGCCTGCTGGGAGTTCACTCGCACCACTACACTGTTACAATGCTGTAGTACTCCAATACTTCCTTGCCTGTGCGAGCAATGCAACTCGGGTCGCTCGAGCAAGGAATGGAGTCGATTTTGTTCCAGAATACTTTCATCATGCCTTCGTAACCGTACTTGATAGGCGAGATGTATTGGATCCAGACGAAGTACGCCGGAGTCGACGAAGCGTTGAGGAAAAGCCCGCCAAACAGCATGAACGGCAGCAAAATGACGATGCCGACGATTGGCGCGATCTCCACCCGCCGACACAGGCACGACACCATATACCCGACGCCGACCGCACCGAAGTTTAACAGCACCACAAACAGCTGCAATGAGATGTACGTGACGATTCCGTGCCCGATTCCGATCAGGAAGTACGTCGGGATGAAGAAGACGAAGGGCATGAACACTTGCAAAGGCAGCTCGCTGAGGATTTTGGCCAGGTACCACACGCTGAGGCGATACAGCCCAGACTTGTACTCGTGCAGCACCATTGGCAGCTCGGTGGGGATGGCGATGAAGAGCGGACTCGACGTCGTGAAAGTTTGGTTGACGATAATGATGAAAAAAGCGCCCGCAAAGTTTTGGATGCCAGTCTGGTCAATGTCCAGCTTCAAGTAGATGAGCCCGACGATGGCAGAAATGAATAGCTGCAGGAAAAAGTTGGCTCGGAACGAGATGCGGTCGCGCACTAGCCGAAGCACATTGCGGCTGGACAGGACCTGCACTTGTGCTCAGGGCCCCAGGTGCTTGTCCTGGTAGCCGTCCGCGCCGCTGCCAGCCTCCTCGATCAAGGCGACGTCGCCCGAGCTTCGAGCCTCCAGGGCGCCCGCGTGCTTCCGAGCCCACTCGTCCTTCAGCAGCTCCAGTCTCTTGACCCCAGCCTCGTCTTTCTCTCTGTCGAGCACGACGAGCTGCCACATGAAGTAGTCGGTCGGGTTCACGAACCCAGGGCACTGGTAGCCCAGCTCGGCAAAGTACGCCACCGCATCGCTCGCCTTGCCGTTATACACCGTCACTCCGTCGCACAGCAGGTAGAGCGTGTCGAAGAGCGTGAAGAGCTCGGACGACGGCTGGTGGACGGTGGTGATCACCGTGCGCCCCTCTCGAGCCAACTGTTGCAGCTGAACCATCACCGCCTCCGCCATGTAGCTGTCCAGCCCCGACGTGGGCTCGTCCACGAACAGCAGCAACGGGTTCGTCAGGATCTCGGTCGCGAACGACAGTCGCTTGCGCTCGCCGCCCGAGATGCCGCGCACGCGGATGCCGCCGATGAGCGTGTCCCTGCACTTGGCGAGCCCCAGCTCCTCCAGCACCGTGTCGACCCTCTCCTCGTGCTGCTCGGCGGTGGTATGCGGCCCCATACGGAGCCTGGCCTGGTACAGGAGGTGCTCGCGCACCGTGATGGTGGCGTAGAACATGTCGTCCTGCTTGACGTAGGACGAGAAGCGCTTGAGCCGCTTGCTCCACTGCACGCCGTTGGCGGAGATGGCGCCCTCCACGGCCGTGTTGCGGCCCGAGAGGCAGTCCAGCAGTGTGCTCTTGCCGGCGCCCGACGGACCCATGATGACCAGCAGCTCGCCCGGGCGAGCGGCGCCGCTGACGTTACTCAGGATCTGCTTGTCCTCCACCTGCTTGGTGCTCGGGTTCTTGACCGCCAGCTTTAGCGTCAGCTCGTGCCACTGTAGCGTGATCTTGGGCACGTCCGGCTCCAGCGGCGGGGACTCGACGCGGACGAAGTGCTCGTGGCTGCGCTCCTTGGACTGCTCCATCGACGGCGAGGCAAATTGCAGAGTGACCGCAACTGGTGAAAGGCACGCGCGCACCGCACGTCCGACCCCGTCTCATCGTCGTCGAGCCCACCGGGAACGGCGGGAATTCCGAGCGCTTCGGCTCGTCAAAGTCCGGTCGGCGGACGCGTGCTGCTGCTGCCCTCACACGCTCATCACTGATGCAGTGCAAAGCCCCACAGCCTTCATGTGCGTCGTGGAGGCGCTGGGCGCCGCTGCGGTCCCAGGGCGCCACAGTCCGATGAGCACGAGCTTACTGTGCAAAACTGTCCTGGAGGGGACCTGTCCTGCTTTGGTCGACTCTCTGGCCTTCTGCCTTGACGCCTTTGCTGCTGCGACGGTCCTACCGACGAGGGGGGGGGGCTACCTACCTATCTACCCGCCCGTCGGATTGACAAAATACTCGCCACATCACTTTCTCTGTTCGCCGCAAAGCAAATCGGACCAAAATGTCGACCGCGAGCGGCCCGTCCTCCGGCGGCGGCGACGTGAACGTGCTGCTCAAGGTGCGAGCCCCGCCGAGCCCCTGACTGACTGCTGCCCCCGCACACGCTCTGACCCGTCCTCGTGTGCCCCAGGCCATCGCAGAGCAAGCGGAGCGACTGCGCGCGGCGCAAAAGACCCACGGAGAGTGTGCGTGCTCTTTCTACCTGTAGTGCAGTAGAATATTACAGTAGTAGACTCCCGACTGGGGCTCACCTCGTGCCTGCCAGTCCACGAGCGCGTGTCGGACGACCTCAAGCAGTTGGCGCTGCTCTTCGTCATGAACGGCGAGCACGACAAGGCGCTCCCGCTGCTGCACCAGCGACTCGTCATCCACGAGAAGTTCGGCCCCGGTACGCTCGAGTCCGGACTGACGACGGGCTTACTGGCTCACAGACTGACTGACCGACTGGAACGAATGCTGTGTGGCACAGACGACCTGACAGCGGAGGCGCTGCAGGAGCTGGGCACGGTCTACAGACTCCACGGGGTGCCCGACATCGCCGTGCAGCACCTGTTGCGCGCGCTGGCGCTGCGCGAAGAGTGCCACGGCAAGAACAGCCTCAAGGTGGCGGAGACGCTCAACAGCCTCGCGCTCGTCAGCCAAATGTGAGCGCTTGCCTTCGCTCTGTAGCTTCTTCTCTCTCTGACGCTGTGGTGTCCCTCCCCCTCCTGTAGGCAGGGCGAGATGGAGCAGGCGAAAACGTACCAGCTGCGCAGCCTCCGGGTGCTGTACGACAGCGCCGAGCCGGAAGACATCGAGAGCGAGGACATCCCGTGGGAGGTCTACAAGCGCCTCAAGCAGCAGCGCGGGCCTTCCACTGCAGCCAACAGCGTCACGCTACTTAAAGGAAACATGCGCAAAAGCGTCATGGACGTCGTCTACAAGTCGTCGGGGGCTCTGAGCCCCACCGAGGAGTCTGCGAGGCTGGATAAGGGTGAAGCTGCGGGGGTGAAGAGCAAGACGCTCGGGTCGAAGGCAGGGGCCACCATCGCCAACGAGCAAGAGTCGGTTGATGTGGACCGAAGACGCGTGTTGAGGTCTCACTCGGAGACTTCGGCACATTCGCTGCCCCACGGAGGCTCCACAAGCGACCGGTTCTCCGCTTTCCACTCCAGCGGCGCTGCCTCGATCGCCGACGATCCCGATGACGCCGATTTTGACCCCCTCGCTCAATCGAGGGTCAATCTAGCCCCGAACCCAAGCTTGCAATCGCTCCGACCGCGACACGACGCACCACGGAGCAGTGGCGAGTCACCGCATGGCACCAAGACCGAGGCCCCTCCTTCGCGGTTGTCGTCAGCAGTCCCCATCGGGCAGAGCATTCGGGACTTCCCGACGCTGCAGCAGCGCGTGGAGTCCTTGAAGCGCCGGATTCTCGCCGGGTACCCGGACGTGAACGCGGACGTGGCTCGACTAACAGCAGACGTGGACCGCATTAAAGCACGGGAGCTGAGGGAAGTAGGTGTGACGATGGTGGCGCTAGTGCGCGAGATGAACAGACTCTGCATCCGCACGGACCTGACCCAGCAGCAGCTGCCCGTGTTGGAGGGCATGCTGGAAAAGAAGAGCGCGTCGATCTTCCGCGGCTGGGAGAAGCGCTGGTTCAAGGTCGACCCCAAGACGTTCATCCTGAGCTACCACTTCAGCAAGGACGACTACGCGCGAGGGTTCACGCCTCGCGGAGGGTTCGCAGTCTCGCGCATCTCCAACATCCTCGTCCAGCGCCACGCACGCGGCAACCACTTCCACTTCGATGTAGTCGTGGATCTGAGCACGCGGCTGAACCCGCAGGGGTCTCGCACCTACGAGCTGCGGTGCGAAGACGAAGAATCGCTGCGCTACTGGGTGGAGACTCTGCACTACTACAAGGCCATGGCCCAGAAGACCCCGCCCCGCCCTTCGACCAGCTAGCCTCGAGCCAGGAGAACTGGGGACTGGGGGGCTGTTTCGCTCGAAGGGTTGCCAGTAGCGAGTTAGTCAATCTTCGCTACGACGAGTCGTCGGGGGGAGCGATGGAGGGCCAGAGCGACAGCATCGTGCTGGAGGAGGAGATCGACCCGAACTATGAGCCGACCGAGAAGGAAGTGCTGGAGTACGCCACGTGGCTTGGGATGGACTTGGAAGCCGAGCGCGATCTGTTCTGGATTGCTCGGGAGGGCCTGAAGGCAAGTGGCCTATTAGCTCGTGGTCTCTTCGAGTTATGCACTGCTGACGATAAATGGGGTTAATCCCCCCCTTCCCATCGACAGGCACCCCTCCCAGAGAACTGGAAGCCGTGCAAGACAACAGACACGGAAGAAATCTACTACTTCAACTTTGCCACGGGCCAGAGCACTTGGGACCACCCGTGCGATGAGGTTCGACGGCCACCATCGACGTTGCTTAGAGAGATTGAATGCTAACTCGGTCTTCAGTTTTACCGCAATTTGTACGAGGAGCACAAGAAGAAGCGCCAGTCAAACGACGTACAGGTAAATTATCCTCAGCCCCCAAAGAATTGTCTAGCTAGCCGCCATACTGAGCGTCGACGTGTTGTCTGCGTACAACGAACTAAAACAGGAGACGGACGAGAAGAAAAAGAAGGTAAAAGAGGACGTGGCGGAGCTGCTGGGTCGGAAAGGCAGCGGGAAGAAGAAGAAGGGGTCTCTGGCGAAGGCTGAGCCGCTGGGAGGGCCCTCCCTGGGGAAGGCAAACCCGTTGGAGAAGAAGCCGCTCCCAGGACTGTCTGGGGGCAGATTGGGCGCTCTCGGGTCAAGTGGACTTGGTGGTGGAGGATTGAAGCCCGTGACAGGTCTCGGGGTAAAATGTTGCACCTAAAGCAGCGCCGAATGCTCGTGATCCTTTACTAACGCTCCCGATGTCTTGCTTGTTGTAGCCCCTCAAGAGTGATGCGAAAGAGTTGGGGGGATCTGGCACTGGACTGGACAGTGGAGCGAATGATTTCAAGAGCGACGAGCTCTCCAAGCCTCTGTCGAGGACCCCCCTTGGCACCGTGCTGGGTAAAAAGCCGCTGTCGTCCTCGCCATCAGTAGACGCCGCCTCTGATTTTGACGAAAAACGGGATCAGCTCGCCCAGGATCATGCTGAAAAGCTGCGCGAGCTTCAAGATGCGCACGAGAGCGAGCTGGAGACGCTGCGGAAGAAGCTGAAAGCGCAGCTAGAAGACGTGCAAGACGCCGAAGAGATGAAGCTGAAGCAGCTGAGGCGCGAGTTCGACAAGAAGAAGAACGACTTGGAGAATCAATTCGACCGAGAAGAGAACGCATTGCAGCGCAGTCGGAAGGAGCAGCTGAAGCGGCTTGAGTCCGAAACAGAGAACGCTCTCAGCCGCAAGAAGCAGGACCTGGACCGTGAATTCAAGTCGGAGACGGAAAGCTTGCGAATGAAGCACGACGCCAAGCAACGCGAGATTCAGGAAGAGTTTGAACGTGAGCAAGAAAAGTTGACAGAGAAGATGAAGACCTCGTTTGGGGAGAAGAAGGAGGCTGCGCAGCTGGCAACAGAGCTGAAATCTGAAATCGAGCGCCTACAATCCCACCAGAAGCGTTTGGAGCAGGAGATGGAGTCAATGCGAAGCGAGAGGGAGACCCTAGTTCGAGATAAAGGCGTCTTAGAGCAGGAGCGTGACAGCGCCCAATGCGACGTTGAAGACCTTCGGGCGGAGGTCAGTCGTTTATCGTCACCTGCATCTGTACGCGAGGAATGTACAAAGTGTTCAGCCTTGGAGGATCGCGTGGCAACTCTTAAAGCCGAGTGCGTTGAAGCCCAACAGGAGGCTGAAAAGACGAAGAAGGAGCTGGAAGCTCTAAAGAACGAGTCTGAAGCTAGAGCTACCGCAGAGGACAAGAACGACGCCGCCAAAGCCTTCCGTGACCAAGAAGCTGCTTTGAAACAAGAGATCGCGACGCTGCAGCAGAAGGTCGCTTCATTGGATGCGGAGTCTAGCGACTTGAGGACAAAATGCGCTACTCTTCAGAGCAAACTGGACACGGCAACTCCAGGTGATCCACCACAACCAGCAGACGATGGACAACTAGAAGCTCTGTTGAGGCAGCTGTCGGAAGCGCAGGCTGAAGCTGCCAGCACAAAGAAGGAGCTTAGTGAGCTGCAAGATCAGCACGCGGTGATCCTAACTACGAACGCTCAAGTCAAGGGGCAGCTGATGAAGGAGTTGAACGAAAGGAAGAGTCTGCGTGAGCAGTTGGATTCAAAGACCGAAGAGGCTGCTCAACACGTTGCAAAAGAAGTGGAGACGTACCAGCAGCAGCTTCAAAATCTGCAGCAGCAACTTGAGAGCGAGTCACGAGCCCGACAGGAGCAGGAAGATGCTTGTGGCGCACTTCGGAAAGAGATGCAAACTCTGGAAGAAGCGAAACACAGAGTTGACGACGAACTGAGGCGGTTGGAGAGTGATAAACACCAGCTAGAAACAGTGTCATCGGGTGCCGCAGAGGAAACGGTCCGCTTGGTTGATCACGAGGAGGAAGTTAGTCGACTTCGTGAGCAGCAGCGTGAATTGGAGCAGGAAATGGTAGCAGTTCGTGGTGAAAAGGAGGCGCTTCTTCTCAATAAGAGCGCCGCGGAAACAAAACTCGCCCAGGCTCAACGCAACGTGGAGGAACTCCAAGGTCAGCTCCTAGAAGCCAAACGACAGGAGGCACCACCGACCGCTCCTCAAGAGTGCGCACAGTGCTCTGCTTGGCAAAATCGGCTTTGCTCTCTCCAAAGTGAATGCGTCCAAGCACGGACGGAAGTGGAAACGTTACAGAACGAGCTCACTACATCCAAACAAGAGTCCGAAGCTCAAGCTGTAGCAGAGCACGAGAGGTCCAGTACCGCAGTCGCAGCTCTGCAGCGGGAGAAGGACGAGCAAGAAAGTCTACTAAAGCGCGAGCTATCGTCGCTAGAGGGGAAGCTTGCAGCTGTAGAGGCGGAGTCCAGAGACCTCAGAGCCAAATGCGAGTCACTTAAAAGCGAGAAGGACACTGCAGACCGACGCGAGTCGGACATATCGGCGACAGCATCGGTGGCGCATGAACAGCTGAAATCACTGGAGCGTCAACTTGCATCTGCCCAAGCGGAGGTGGCAAGCACGAAGTCCGAGCTGCATGAGCTGCAGCACCAGCATGCTGCGCTGCAAGCGGCGAACTCGCAACTGAAGGAGCAGCTCACGAAAGAATCAAGCGACAAGAAGGCACTGCGCGAGCAGCTCGACGCGAAAGCCGAAGAGATCTCGCAGCGTCTCGCGGGGGCGACCGACAAGCATCAGCAGCAAATGCTGACGCTGCAGCAGCAGCTTGAGAACGAGTCGCGGGCTCGAAGAGAGCGGGAGGACGCGTGTGATTCGCTGCGCAAAGAGGTCCACGCGCTGGAGCAAGCAAAGCGAAAGGTGGACGCAGACGTGGGGCAGCTCGAGAGCGACAAGCGCCACCTCGAATCCGAGAAGGCGATGCTGACACTGCGCCTAGACGAGGTGAATATGTCTCGCAAGCGAGAGGAGAAGTCCGTCGTATCGGCTGAAGAGGCTCTGGCCGACAAGAAGCTCGAGGTGGAGCAGTTGAGGGCCAACCTGAAGGTGGCGGAGTCGGACAAGGAGCACTTGGAAGCCCGCATGAAGGTGCTCAACCAAGAGTTCGAGCAGTTGCTAGCCAAGACGCATCGACTGGAGGCCGAGTATGAGGGCGAGCGTGTGCGATGTCGGACTGCCGAGAAAGAGCGAGACGCGGCTTCACAGCGGCAACAAAGTCTGGTGGACGAGCTGGAGAGTGCTCACCGCAAGTCACGCACTCTTGCAGCCGAATTCTCAGAGCTCCAAGGCCAAGTCAGCAAAGCCAAGGCGAATGGGCAAGCTGCCGCCAGCAAAATCGACCAACTCACGCAGAAGCTCCGCCAACTCGAGCAGCAGAAGGAGCGAGACGATTTCGCCATGAAGATGAAGCTCCAGCAAGCTGAAGTGGAGCACGAAAGCGTCATTCACGCCAAGGACAGGGCGGAGATGCAGCTCCAAGCCAAGGACAAGGAGTTGGCGGCAGCGAAGGACGAGGTGGCCAGGAAAGAAAGCGAGATCGAGTCGCTCCAAGCGCGTGTCAAGTCCCTCCTCAGCGACAAGGAGGAGGTGCAAGCTGCGCTGCTGAATGCCAACATGGCGAACGTTGCGTCCGCCTCCGCCAACCGGGAGTCGGCAAAGTCCATCAGCGCGAGCAACGACGTGATGCTCGTGAAGCTCCAGCTCGCAGACGCCAACCGAAACGAGCTGGAGCTCCACTTAGCGGACATTTCGTCGCAGCTCGAGGCTTCAACTCGTCGATGCGCATCGCTGGAGGCGCGGTGCCGTGACCAGTCAGTGGAGATCGAGTCGCTCCATGTCGAGGTCGCCTCGCTTCGCTCTGCAGCCCAGAAAATGCACGTGTCTGCACTCGAGTCGCTGGCTCTGGTGGAGCGACTCGAGTACGAGCACAAGAAGCGCACGCTCAGAAGCGACTTCCTGAACCAGTTGCGCGACTTCCAGGAGCGGGAGGAGCAGGCGCTGGTGCGACACAAAGCTCGGCTGCGTGCCCAGTACGAGAGGCATCTGGAAGACCTGGTGGCCGAACTGGAGAAGGTGCGGCAGCAGCGGCTGGAGCAGGAGGAGGCGCTGTCGGCGCAAATGATGCAGCAGATTCGGCACGAGCGGGACGTGAAGCGCAACGAGGCGAAGCGCCAGGTCCGAGAAGAGTTGAAGCGGTTCGAGCACGATCTGCACGAACGCAAGGCGCGCGACATTGAGATCATCTCGAAAGCCATCGAGAAGGAGGAGGACGAACTCGGCGCGAGACTTCGCGAGGTTCGGCAGGTCGCACGGGAGAAGGAGCTGGCGAAGCAGCTCGAGTCGCCTCTCAACGAGGTGGGCAAAAGTGACAGAGCTCGATCAGCCCCTGCGTCTCCGGGGCAACTTCTCAACAAGCTGAACGCTCGACGGCATCAGCCTGAGACCCTGGACGACGACGACGACGCTGACGACTATGTGGCTGGACAACGGTTCAAGGCGAGCAATCAGCTGCACGACTCGAAGCGTCCGAGTCGCTCTGACCGCCAGCAGAAGCAGAGCCTGAAGACCTACCAGAAGTGGAAGCAGCGGCTGCAAGAGGAGGTGGAGCTGCTCGTCAACGCGCGGACTCTGGTGGCGAATCAACGTCAAGGTCTCACGAAGCAGGCGCACCAGCTCAAGGCGAGCAAGAACGAGTGGAAGCGAAACTCGCGGTCTTCGGATGCGAACCCCATCCAGCGAGAGGTGAAGCGCATGCTAGACGAGGTGAGACGCTACGTTGTATTGGCCGTGTCTGATGAGAAGAGGTGAGGCTAACTGGGGGCATTTGATGCGACTAGAACATGGCGAACTGGGGCGAAGGCATGAGGAAGTTGCGCAAGCAAGAGGCGTGGGTCAAGCAGCGAGAGCAAAAGCTCGCGAAGATGAAGCGAACGGGTACGTGGTGGTGGAACCTCGGCGTGTTCATGATGGATCTGAGCTCACTAACTTGGTACTTGCTGCTGTTAGTCGATCGGTTGAAGCGAAGGCACAAAAATGCGTATGGGCGTAGCAACAATCTATCAGGAAGTGAGAGTGGCAGCGACGGCGAGGACGACGAGCCTCCTGCCGACTGGTCAGACTACTCGAGTCAATCCGAGCTTGCATCGACGCTGGAGAAGCTGGAGCGACTGGAAGAAGAGCTCGCGTCGGACGCTGGGAGCTTTTCAGAGGAGTCACCACAAGGGCCAAGTGACCGCTTCCGTGGCAGTGATTTCCACGCCGTCTACCACGTTCCTCCTTCGCCGTACGCGCTGCAACGGGACATCGTGCCGTATCGGTACCCGCTGGCCTCCTCATCAGCGGTCTTTGCGCCCAGAAGAACGATCTCTTGTGTTGCAGGAGACGGCGCTGGCCAAGACGCGCGATGGATGCGCTCCCAGCGAACAGCGTTTGGTCTGCGGTAAGTAGCTATGGTGCTCTGATACTTAAACGTTCGGCTGAATCTGACGCTGCTCTGCTCGTAGCGGGGATCGATTCGCGGTCGCGGCAACGCCCACGACTACCAGCAGTGCCAGCCGCACCGAGCAGGTCTACCAGCAGAAGATCTCGCGCTGGGCGAGAGGCCGCGAGAAGGTCCAGCACGCCGCCACGAACCACGCAACTTGGCTCTCGGGCCTGTGCGAGGAGCTGAAGGAGTACGGGGCCAAGTACACCCGCGTGGAGGGCGGCGACGTGGACGGCTCTGAAGGCGGAGGGCAGTTTGTGCAGGACGAAGGCGACTCATAACTGAAGGGCAACGAGACTCACTCAACCATGCTCAAATGCTGCTCGTTCGTTGGGCCGTACTATAGAGAAACTTGGCTCATTACAGCAAGAAGAAGACGAAAAAGTCCTCGCTTACTACTCATCGCCGCTGTCCTTCTTCTTCTCGGGCTTGATGTTCTGGTTGACCCACTTGGTCTCCTCCTTGCCCTCCTTCAAGGCCGCGAAGCGAGCGGACACGAAGAGGAAGTCGCTCAGGCGGTTGAGGTATCTCTGCACCACGCCGTCCACGTCCCCGGCGGCCACGAGCGGCACGACGCTCCTCTCGGCGCGGCGACACACAGCGCGCGCCACGTGCAGGTGTGTGGAGGCGAGGCCGCCCCCGGACGGCAGGATGAAGCACTTGAGCGGCGGCAGCTCCGCGTCCATCTCGTCGATCCAGAGCTCGAGCTGCGTCACGTTGGCCTCGTCGAAGACGCCCGTGCGGCGCTGCTTGGTCTCGGACGCCGACGTGAGCGGCGTGGCCACGCAGGCGCCGAGGTCGAAGAGGCGGCTCTGGATCTGCTCGAGCTTGGGCGGCAGGAAGGCGTTGGCGGCCACGCGCGCCTGCTCGACGGCCACGCCGATCTGCGCGTTGAGCTCGTCCGTGTCGCCCAGCGCCTGGAACACGGCGTCGTTCTTGGGGCGCCGCTCGCCCGAGAAGAGCTGCGACGTGCCCTTGTCTCCTGTCTTGGTGTACACCTTCATGCCTCGGCAGCGCAGCAGTCCCGACGACGACGGAGGAAGTGCGCGCGGACGCAGAGCCAACAGTAGCGGGCGCATATGGCTCGTTCTTGCGACTCGACGCGATGTGTGACCGTCGGGATTGCGACTTCAACGTCTCATGGAATCTGCCCAACTCAATTCCACCCTGTTTGACTACTGTGAACCAAAAAGCGAATGCTCGAATTGCAAGCAGCACAAAGGACCAACTCTTGTCCCGCCTTCAGCGACTTCATTTCATCCGATACAGAAAGTGCCATACCTTCATAAATGCCTACAGCAAGACGCTTCTCAAGGCAAGGGTTTATAGCGTTCTGTTCCGCTGTAAAACTTGCCTTGAGAAACGATGCTTTTGAGCACCACGGAGCGAAGCTCCATCCACTCGCACGAGTGCAGATGAAGTAGAACCCACAGACTGTCTTTGCTATAAAACTGTGCTCGGAAAGTCTGATCAACTGGACAAGCCCAATGATTCCTCCCACCTTGTCCAGCAAGACGAGGTCGTACAGTAGCTGCTTTGATTCGACCTGAATGATGAATGACACACTTCACTGCTTGTCGGCGAGTGTTTCCACTCTCAGTTGCAGCTCCACGACATCGAAGTGAAGGAACCACTCAATGGTGGTGGTGGTGGTGGTGGGCACCGTGGTCAGAGTCACCGCAACTTGCGCCAGACACCCCGAAGAAGGACGTGTCGATTGACAGGTTTCTCGGAAGTAAATCCACAGCAGCCAAGAACTTCTCGGGGCCAAGTCAGATGCTGAGTTCTCGCAAAACGTACGAGCTCGTGACCAGATACTCGGTTCTCGTGGCGATACAGAGCCACAAGCCGATCAACTTCACCACTAGAGACCCCTTCGAAAGCTGCTCGAGCCAAGGCTGCCGCGAGTCAGGACTTTCTCAAACGAATCCATCGCCTCGGCCGTCGTGAGGGCAAACATCATGCGCGCACTGCCGCCAGAGATGAGAACAGTAAATCCTCGACGTTTTGCGAGTTCCACACGTTTGCCGCTCACAACTGTGGACCCTTAGCAGTATAACAGCGGAAAACGGACTCGTGCATGTAGCGAATCCAAACGATGTCCCAAGTTGCGATCTACTGCGCCAAACGCGAAGGCCAGCGCTGCGTTTGTTTTGCCTGCCCCCGGGGGCTCCACAAACGAACGCGTTAGCGTAAGTGTCAACGGCGTTGCGTCGGATTCGACTACAGCTTCGGTTGTATGCTGGTCGTAGGGGAGGGAAAATAATTAATACCTGTTGTTCCAGCACTGTCGAGCTGTTGGTACCGTACAGCTCCTACTGACCTGTCAAGGACCCTGGTCTGCTGTTGTCCTCCAACAAATACTACGTAGTATTTTAGATTAAACGCCAGTTGCGGGCTCAAGCTGCGATTCGCTTCGATAATTCAAAACCGCTTCATCCAAAGCACTTCAGTCAAACGTACATCGGCTACTCCCATAGCTAGTAACTTGCAAATGGACTGCTCTTTGCTATTGAGGATCCGTAGGATACAGAAGTAAAACAATAGCGCTGTACTTAAGTAAATTCATGTAGCAGAAGGTAGTGAGCGATTGCAAGGGCACGTAGCCGAAGAAACCCCTACTGTACTCGCAAATTAGGGCCGCCCGGAATTTCCAGAGGCGGAAACCATTGCCGAGCATTCGTGCGAATGGGCCTGCCCCCACAACTCGGAGTAAGATTTATTGCTGGGTTCTGTAATCCACAGTCCACACATATCTCAGGAGAAATCCATGAAGAAAGTAGCAGGTTAAACAGAAAGCAACAGCAGAACAGGGCTCATGACAGGTGAACAGGGGCTGTAGGAGGGCAACAGCCGAATAGTGCTAAAGTAACAGCTCATAAATATCACCCGAAGGGGAGCAGACCCGTCGGCTGGGGTGAGTTTGCTGCGGTCTCAACGGCCTTCGAGCGGCTAGTTTTACCCGCTATAGCGGCAAGAGGATGCAACGTCGCGCTTTTGAGTCCTCCCAGCTAACCGAGCCTGAGCGCAGCTAGGAGCGCATTGATTGACACAGTCCCGGTGCATTTGCTGCGGCGGCATCTTCGCGAGTCAAAGTGCGTGGCGCCGCCTTGTCTTTGTCTCGGGGCTCTTCAAATCGGACCATACATTCTCCAAGTCAGTGCGTATTCTTAGATGGCACAAGCGCGACGTGAGGCCATCCATAACCGTTCTCTTTGGTGTCCGCGCTGCTCGTGATGGAGGAGAGACGCCCGCTGCTGCCGCCGCGCCATGACCGGCGGCCGTCCGCCTCGGCCGCGGTGGCGCACAGCACGCAGATCTACGGGCCGCAGGAGCGTCCGGACGACGTCGACAAGGGCGGCACCAGCCTCCGCGGCGCCGGGAGCCTGGACGCCATGCTGCAGCTCTCGCAGCCGCTCAACCCGCTGCAGCACGCCAAGGTCCGGTCGCTCGCCATCTGGCTCGTCACGTCCTGCATCCTGTTCCTCACGAACCAGCTCACGTCGCTGCCCGTGGGCTTCTACCCGTCCTACGCGGCCAAGAGGGGGCTCATGACGCCCGCCGAGCTCAGCGTCTTCTTCTCCGTCTACCCGCTCTGCATCATGCTCAGCAGCCCGCTGGCGGCGTCCGTGAGCCCCACGATCGGCCGGCAGACGCTCATCTGCCTCGGGCTCATGCTCAGCGGCTCCAGCACTATTGCGTTTGGATACGCGACGGGCACAGCGTCGGCCTTCCTGCTGCGGATCTTCCAGGGACTCGGCTCGGGTGCGGCGGTCGTGGGCTCGTTCTCCATGATGTCGGAAGAGTTTGCATCCCACGTGGGCCAGATCCTGGCCATCCAGGAGTTCGTCGTCGCGGCGGCCTTCGTGACAGCGCCGCCACTGGGGAGCTATCTATACGAGACGCAGGGCTACGAGATGCCCTTCCTCGCCTCGGGCGTCGCGCAGATCGTGGTCGTGATCATCGTGCCGTTCATCTTCATCGAGTACTCGCTGCCGGACGGGATCTACGCCGCGCCGAGGGCACGGAGCGCCTCCAGGTCGTTGTACAGGACGCCGTCGTTCAGCATCGTGCGATATAAAGACGTACTCACGCCCACGTGCGTGATCAGCCTCATGGTGACGAGCTTCGCCATGTCGTCGTTCGGCTTCATCGACCCCTACCTGGGCACGCATCTGCACAAGGTCCTGGGCGCAGAGCACATGGCGGTGGGTCTGGGCTTCGCGCTGAGCGCGTTCGTCTACTTCCTGGGCGGCCTCGTGTACGCGTGGCTCAGTCGCAACTGCGGCTCCAAGCAGGTGATCTTGCTGGGGCTCATGCTGCTGTCCGTCGGCTTCTTCTTCCTCGGCCCGCCGCCGTTCCTGAACGGCCTGTTCCAGACCACCAGGAGTCTGTGGCTCGCCCAGTACGTCTCGCTGATGCTCATGGGGTGCGGCACTGCGTTGGCCATTGCGCCGGGCCTGCCGCTGACGCTGGCGAGCGTGCAGGACAAGGGCACGCACGGGTCGAACCTCGTGATTGGCCTGTTCGCCGCCGCCATCTACCTGGGCCAGGCGCTGGGCCCGTTCATGGCGTACGTGCTGATGCGGATCCTGCCGGCGACGCATTCGCTCAACTGCACGAGCTCACAAGACAACCCGGAGAGCTCCATCGTCACATGCGACTCGTCCCTGCCGTGGGCCTTCACAGTGTACTCGGCGCTGACGCTCGGCCTCTTCGCTTTCGTGGCGGTCCACCTGCCCACAAGCGAGGCCATCGCGGAGCTCCTGCGGCAGAAGAGGAAACGCGTGCCGCTCATGCGGCAGCCGTCCGAGTACGGCCAGTTCGTGTGCTTCGACGACGACGACGACATCGACCAGTGCGTGGACTTCTAACGTTAGGCGAAAACTGTGACGAGGCGGTGCTCGCCTGCACATCATTTAACAATTAATTGGCCGCGCCGTTCACTTGTGTTTTGTATGTGGCAGTTTTGCAATTAAACATTTTGCAATGTCAATTCAGCCAGATGGCTACAAACCCTTCAATACATAGCACAAGATGAATGGAGGTGTTGGCGCCGCGCCTCCTGCCGCTGCTGCGGGGGCACCGCCTGGCCACTCGAGGCCGCCGCTGCCTCGCAGACCGCCCGGTGCACATCGGTCCTTGAAGCAGCGCGAGCGCGAGGCCCCCGACGTGGACTGGGCGCGCGCGCTGCAGCACTTCGCTGGCTGCATCCGCGCCGACCTGGACGATCTGCATCGACGCTTCCTAGAGGAGGTGGGCGACAGCAACAGTGCATTACCATCACTCGTTAATGAGCTACTGACTGGACGCTGCTTGCTCTTCTGGTGTGCAGAACGTCGTGGGTTTCGCTGCGTGGAAGCGGCTGTGGCGGGACGCGCGGATGAGTGCCGCCTTCCACGTCGAGTTCTGGGAGAGCACCCCCACGACCACGCACAAGGCCATTCTGCAGCAAGCTCTGGACGCACTGGTCTGGTGCATTGAGGAGCGAGGCGGCGAGTTCGGGAGCGAGGCCGACGTTGCTGCGCTGATTGGGCGCGTGTTCGCGCTGTACTGCGCGTACTCGGTGCAACTCGGCGCTCCGAAGCACAAGATCGACGTGGACCCGCAGGACTGGACGGCGCTGATCTCGGTCAACTGCGTCATGAGCGGAGCAGGCGCGACGATGTTCCCGACGGCAGCCCGCGAGGTCCGAGCAATGATGCACCGGCTTGTGGTGCAGGATAACGCGTTCCTCCGCTGCTTGAAGGGATTTGGCCCAAGTGTTCGAGTCCAGGACCGTGCAGAAAGACCTCGAGGTGGTGGTGAAACTGGCGCACGTCAAGATGTGCCTTCCGTTGTGAACAGTGCGACGGAGGAAGACGCCATTGTACGTGGACGATTACCCATGTATTCGGTATTCCATGCCATTAGCAGTGGCCTCATTTCTGTGTACTTTGCATTGCTTGTATTAGGTGCAGCAGAGCAAACTGGAGCAACTCAAGTGCCTTAATGATCGCTACCAGGAGATAATGAGCCGAGCTCGCTCGTCTGGGGCGGCTGCATCAAGTTCTGGCGCACGCTTAGGTGGGCGTCGCCCTCCCAAACTTCCCGGTCCCCTCCTGCAAGGCTCAGGACATAACGGAGAAGAGCTGATTCGCTCCTTGACTTCATACATGGAGTACAAGCAAAAGGAAGAGGCCCGCAGAATGGATCGAGGCGCGCGTGCTGCTGCAGCTCGCGAGGAAGAAGCCAAAAACATGCTCGAAGCGTTCGCGAGTGAACGGGACGACAGCACCAACATCCTTGCTCTGAGTGATCGTGGCAGCGTCATGTCAGCTCCATTTAGTCCGGTGGCCAGATCCGTTGCCTCAAGTCGTCGTGAACCTCGTCGTCGGATCGATAGTGAAGGAAGTGAGGCATTTCTTGCGGAGCTGGAGTCTGAGCTGCACGCAGACGTTTCGAGTGACCAAGTTGCTCCAATATCTACCTTGCCTACTCGAAATGCATCGACGGGAAGACATTCCTCGGCTATCAGTGAGATTAGTGAAGCGGACAGTGACGCTCTTGCCGATCTGGAGCGAGAGCTGGAGCAAAGTGTCGATGAGGCGCCACCCAGAGCACTAGAGGAAGCAGCTCTGGCTAATCCAACATCTCCTGCACGGCGAAAGCGTGGTCGAAGTGCTCCCTCTGCGGGTATTGTCTCTAGAACAGCAACTCGTACTGTTCAAGCATCCAAACAGAAATCAGCTGCCGTCGCTAGTATCGAACATGCTCGCCCTATGACGGGGCGAAGACCACACGACTCAACGCCTAGCCGCATTCCCGTCACCGATTCGTGGGCTGCGTCTTCGACTGCCGAAAGCGATGGACTTGACACGATTCAAGCTGAGCTGGATGCCGTTCCGATGGTGACTGGGGCGTCTAAGTCTGAGTTTTTCCGCCCCGTTCGCGATACGAATGGCGCAGCAATCGCCCCAGGAGCAAAGCCGAAAGCAAAGGAAAAGACTCGGCAGCCTGCAGGCCGCGCGAATGGCCGAAACAAAGCCCCTGCCGCTGTTACGAATCGCGATCAGCAGCTCGCTGCACCTCCACGCAGGGAAACTCGAACGAGAGTCTCATCGATCGCGTCCGAAAGCAGTGATTTGATAGCGCAGCTCCAAACCGAGCTCGACTATCCTGTTGCTCCTCTAGCAAGCGCAGCGCCAAACGCGAAGCCCAGCGCGACACCAGCTAAAGGAATTGGGCCTCGAAGATCGTCAAGACTGAGCTCTGTGGCATCTGATACTGGTAGCAACGCCCTCGAGGAGCTTGAGAGGGAGCTACACGCTACAACTGCAGCGTTACCATTGGCAGGGCAAACTGAAATGCCATCTCGGAAACGAGGCGTGGCGTCTTCAAAGCGGCCTGCCCAGCCAAAGTCGTCCGCTGCTCCAAGGAATACGAAGAGGGCACGTACGACCACTTCTGCCTCAATGACCGCGTCAGCAGCGACTCGGACACCGTCCAAGGCTCGTGGGAGGCAACAAGTAAAATCTAACCCTATTGCTCCACAGCAGTCCGCTCGGACAAGTGGTGTTTCATCGGATACCGAGAGCGATGGCATGGCCGAATTGATGTCGGAGCTTGACGCTCCAATAGCAGCCAAGGCATCGCCGAAACAGAAGCCGCCGGCCAAGAAAGCTGATCCAAAGCCCACTGCGCGGAGGAAGCCCCTACTCCGAGTCAGCTGAAGTCTCGCCCCCGGCGCAATAGTGAAGCGGTGTTGGCGGAACTGCATGGCGATATCTCTGATGACCGAGCTGTAAAACCAAATGCAGCACCAAGCACGACCACCAGCGCACGATCGTTGATCTCCGTCAATGGGATTAGACCTCGGAGATCGTCGCGGTTGAGCTCTGCGGCATCAGACACTGGCAGTAACGCTCTAGAAGAACTGGAAAGGGAGCTGAGCGCTAGCACGGCCACGTTAGAGCTGGAGGCCGAGTTACAAGCTGGGGACAGCTAGAGCACTAACCAAAACGCGATGATGATGAATGCACACTCTGATCACAATAGCTCATGCGTTACACTCAGTGCAGAGCGAGCAGAGTCAACTATGGGGAAGGCAGACGATGTCGCGGAGGAGGAAAGCGCCGATCTCGCGTGGCGTGTGGAGCTTCTGCGTGCACTGACATCGGGTGACTTGCCAAGTGCGTTGCTCGGACCAGTTTGCAGTCCCGGTTGCTTGTGGTTAACCTTTCGTCACACTCGGTGCTCTTTGCTTCCTATGCAGACGTTGAGCGACTGGTGCTGGCCCACATCGACATGATCTCAGCTCCATTTACTGCTGCAATGCCGCCGTGGACACTTCAGTGGGAAGGAATGCACTGGTGGATGCTGCAAAACGCAACACCTCTGTTCATAGCAAGCGCGTATTCACGACCAGACATCGTCCGCTGGCTGCTCGTCAATGGTGCGGATCGATCGACTCCTTGCTACCTCAAACAAACTCCCGTCCACGTCGTTGGGGAGTGCTGTGCACACGCAGCACTACCGGACAGGACTCGAAGCACCGAAAAAATTGTCGCGGACAGTGCGAAATGCGTGAGGCTACTGGAAGAACCTCCATCCCTCCCGTTGCCGCCCACGAGCGACGTCACCTTTTCAAGTAGCTATTCGTCCGAGGTGGTTATCACGCACACCGGGTCGTTCAAGACGAGCTCGATCCAGCAAACCGTGTACAAGTGTCTGCTGCGCGTTTCGTGGACGACCCCTTTATCTAACGGAGCCATCATTGATAAGTTCGAGCTGCGGTATCGCCGACTAGTAACGGAGGACGAGAACGAGGCAGCCACCAACCAGGATGAAGTCAGGACGCGCGAACTGGAAAAACAATCAGCGGCAGACAGCGCCACCGCCACGTGGCGCTCCGAGAGGGTGGCGCACAACCGCAAGTCGCGCCAGCAGAGCGCGTTGGTCGAAGGTCTGCAGTTCAACACAATCTATGAATTTATGTTCCGGTCCTGGAACGCCGCGGGCAAAGGCGCCTGGGGCCCCAGCTTCCAAACAAGAACGTCGGTGATACCGACCCGCTCGGTGGAAGGCCAGTAAGGCCTCTCTAATCAACAGCCTTCTTCTTGGCCAGCCGCCTGCTGCTCTTGCCTTCAGCATCAGCTGCGTGCGAATCGCCCACTTCCGCGAAGTGCGGGGAGAAGCAAAACAGAGCGGCACTGACTGTAGCGAGACAAGCGGCGCCATACGCTGGCCCATCGATCGAGGCGATGTACGTCCACCCCGACAGAACTAGCATTGGAGAGCGCACAGCACACACGTAAGCGTTAGGCTAGAGGCAGTAGTAGCTGCAAAGGAAATAATGTATACTCACTGGGCCCGACAGTTCTGGAGATGGACTGGAGGAGCATTGGTGATTCACCAAGCACAGATACGTAACACATTAATGAGCACCACACTCGCAGCGGTACTGTGAGAAATAACCTCTGCCGACTCACCGTTAGGGACGAGGAGATGCCCATGAAGGCGCCGACGTGCTCCTGCGAAACAAAGGTAGTCTGCAGCGCCACGGAGCTCGCGCGAATGATGCTACCAGGCGGAGAAAGGTACACTTCGTATGAGTTCCCGACAACAAGGCAAGCACGGTGTGGGTGTCGTCGGTCTCACCTGATGGAAATGACTTGCGGCACGAGCGTAATGTACACGGTGCTGACCCCGGTGGCGCTCGAGAGCGCAAAGAAGGTCATCACGTAGACGATAGCCGACAGCTGCAGCACCAGCCTCTCCGACTTCATGAACTTGGTCACGAACCCCACGGAGAAGCTGCCGAAGAATCCCAGCAGCCCCATGTAGCTCAGCACAAACCCGCGGTCCCGTGAATCCATGCCGAATTTGTCCTCCAGCAGCACGGAGAAGTGCGTGCGATACAAAATGGCCGCCATGGACAGCAGCAGCCTCGCCACCAGCAGCGTCTGCGCCGGCTTGGACTCGTTGACGATGCTGCGGAAGCCCAGCAGCTTCGTCCACGCGTTGTGCAGCAAGAGCTTCCAGTCCACGTGGTGGTGGCGGTTCGTCGTCTTCTTCTTCTCCCCATCTCCGCTCTTCACCGTCGCCATGAGGCTTGGGGCCGCCGAGTAGAAGAGCGCCACGAGGCCGTAGTTGACGCCAAACAGCGCCGTGGTCAGCAGCGCCGTGTAGTTGAATCCGTTGGGCACGGAGCTCACGTAGCCGCCGACCATGGGGCCGATGATGAAGCCGGCGTTGGCGGCCGCATTGAGTCGGCCGATAGCGGCCGAGCGCTTGTCGGCGCTCTCCGCGTCCGTGGCGGCCACCTTGATGATGTCGAGCGTATGCTTGAAGAGCGCCGACGGGATGCGCGACAGCAGCACGACGTAGATGTTCCAGGACAGGCCCAGCAGCAGGTAGCCGGCCGACGCGCCCACGAAGCACGCGAGCAGCACGCGCTTGCGGCCGTAGTGGTCGCTCAGGCTGCCCACGATGGGGGCCGCGAAGAACTGGATGAAGCCGTAGAGCGACATGAGCAGCCCGAACACGAGCGCGCCGCCGTCCATGGACTTGACGTACTGCGGCAGCGACGGGATGATCATGGACACGCCCAGCATGTCCAGGAAGGACACGAGGTACAGCACGCGAGGCGCCAGCCAGCGCTTCATGGCCGACGGCGACGCTGGCGCCGCCATCGTAAACTGGACACGTTGCCGTGTTAAGAAAAAGTTGTATTACATTAGCCCCAGTCGGGCACTTTGCTGGGACAAACCGAAAAAATGCTACATGTATTGTGCTTTGCACGAACTTTGGCATGCGATTAAGGGATCTAAACCAACGAGCAAATCGTTCCCGGTGATCATATCTCGCAGCCTAACTCTAAGTTAAAGTTAAGCTAATCAACCGCCAGTCCCAAACACAACGCAGAGCAAGAATGGAGCGGTTGCCACTGCAAGAGTAGATCGGTTCGCTGCAAGAAATGGCAACTGATGAGGTTCCCCATAGATTCGCGCTAACTCCTTGGAGTAAGAACCGATTTCGGCGGGGACTCTTTCTCTCGCGCAAGGTTCTGGTGAAGAGCGCTTCGTTGGACATTGCGCGTTAAACCAAGGTTGAATATCAGAGCATAGTAGCAGTAGAAATGTTTGGAGGCAGGAAACGCTGACTTTAAAGCTGTTTGTAGCTCCTCGATATAAAAACAGGGATGTTCTTCAATATCGTAGACGTAGTTTAGTACGATAGATCGCCAACGCATGTCAATCATCGACTAGAAAGCAATCAGACAAAGCGAGCGAGCTAGAATTAGAATGTCAGGGCCGTAGTATTGTCGGATTTACTCCAGCCATTCAACGAAAGTGAGCATAACTCAACGTTAACTCGTTGTTTTAGCAGCTATTCTATCTTAAATTGACGAGTTAGTCTGCTAACTTTATGATGGGCTAATCACCGTGATTTGCTAAAACAACGAATTACGTCGTTGTTTAGACAGAAAGCATGCAAGGCACAATATAGGACAAATCCGAAATTCACGGAAGTAAAGTATAGTGTACCATAGTTTTTGTCCTGGCGGTCCGTCTAGGACAAAATTTGTGGTACACAATACTGAAATCAAGTAAAAACCGATTTTGTCCTCCCGTTTGTCCTAGCAAGACGGGTTAGGGGAAATCCGTTTTGTGGTCCGTAATTTAAAACTAATTCGGTTTGGGGTCCGTTATCTTACTGATGAGTGCTGGAGTGTTTTATTGAGCACTGAAGATACTTTAGAGGGCACTAAGGAGCCATAGGCTATGGGTTCAGCTGTTTCGTTCTATGAGTAGCTACTGGCACGCGTTTGGGTCAGTAGAGCGCAAATTTTAGCGGCGCAAGGAGCTTCTTTCATTCGCAAGTGCAGATCCCGATCCACCCGGAGTTACTACTTGGCCGGGTGCATCCTCAACTCTCAACATCTACGGATCCCGCTATAGGAAGCGGCAAGTACGGAAAAGGAAGACCTACAAAGGCAAAGGAAAGGAACAACAACAACCCAAAGGCAACCCCACGGCCGGATCCAGATCCAGGTCGCCCGATCCAAGTCGACTATCACTGGATTGGGAATAACTACTGCGAGCAGAGTGAAGGTTTCCGCGCTGCTCCACCCACATCCCCGCGTCTCGCCCAGACTGTTCTCTCTTCAAGGCTCGGACGCTTCAGCAGACACCAGAGGAGCAGATCCAGCCCTACCGACGGGTACACAAGGTGACCAGTTCAGCACACAGATCACGGATCATCGGGGGACCCCCTCCGTAAGTCGGTGTTCGGGCGCAGTTGGTAAGTTGGATTGGCAATCTCGCGGATTTTGCTGATCCCGCTACGCCACAGTGGATAGGAAAAAGAAGTTTACGCTTACTGATGTCGAGCAGAAGGTGGAGGCTGTGCCACTCATGCAGCGCCAATGTGGTGTACGGATCATCAAGTTTTGTGTCACACTCCACGGCCGCAGTGGAACAACGTACCAGGAGCCAAGTACTACTCGGCGGGATGCCGAGCTCAGTGGGCAAGAATGCGCTGGTGGACGACCGCTTAACTCGGCTGATGGTGTCAGAAACTCAAGGCACACCGGCTTCGACCTGGGGACACGTGGCAGGCCCAGTGATGAAGACCCAGCCGAGTTCAGGAAGGCACTGGACACACTCAGCCGAGATCATGGGGATTTCAAGCCGCCGAGCTCGGCTAAACGGTACCATGTACCGTCCGATACGGTAACCAGGCTCAATTGAGTCCGGAAGTCGCGCAGTCGAGTTCACGGGTCGCTCCGCCGAGTTCGCGGGTCGCTCCGCCGAGTTCACTGGGTTATCCGGCTCAACCGAGTTCACCGGCTTATCCGGACACTTTATCCGGCTCAGCCGAGTTCGAAGAGTTATCCGGACGCCTTATCCGGACCAGCCGAGCTCAAGCGTCGCTGCGCTCAGCGAAGGGTCGGCCGAGATCCAAAACCACCCACTTTCATTTGGTATTTGTATAGGATCTTAGGAATAGTAGAGGCGCCCCTTCAGGGCGCCCGACAGAGATAACAACCAAACAGAGCAGAATTTTCTAGGTCCACAACACGTGCACGCGCTTCCAGTAAGCCCCTGCACGGGCCGGATTATGTCTGCTGTCAGCACCCGAGAGGCATAGCTTGTAGGGTGTTGACTGGTAGCGCCAAGAGATTAAGGTCGGCCCGGGTTGGGCGCGTGTCTCGCCAAGCGCGAAGGAAAAGTCTCGCCACCGCTGCGAGCCGGTGTTCCCGTACATCCCGGGCACTGATTGCTGAGTCGAGAAGCCTTTGCTCTCGGCGACCCGTAAAATCCCGCGAGGGCCGTCGTCCGTCCTTTGGCGGAGGGCACGGGATTTCTAATTCCGGAGTCAGGTAACTCAGCTGGCTTCCGTGATTGACTGGCTTGGGGTACTTGGTCTCGGCGAGGACGAGACATCACTGTCCCGGAAGGGCCGAACCGCTGGGGGACATCTCAGCGCAGGCCAACAAGGGCCGACTAGCTCGGCTGTTGTTGTGTTTGTAGCTAGGGTGCCACATCTGACGATTTTGTGCGTGCTACTACACCACAACTGGTGCCGCGACCCGGGAGCAGGGTGGTTTGTTTTCGTTGGTACCAAGTCAACCAAGTTTCGAGTACCGAGCAAGATGGTCAAGGGGAGATCTTTGCCGAGCTGGGCCAGCCCAGCGACGGCTGGGGGTTCGTTTCACACGATGCCGAACTCATCTGGCGGAAGGACCGCCGACATGACGATGGAAGCGGTCCCAACCGTTCGGTTTGGCGACGACCGCACCCAAGACCGAGGAAGAGATGGAAATATCGGAGATTATGATGAAGAATTGAAGAAAGCCGAGTTGCTCAGCGGGGTAGCTGAGTTCTCGCTGCATGTTGGGCGCATGGAGAAACCTCGACGAGCCCAACAAAACCTCGCAGCCAAGCTCGGTGACGATGCGGACGACGACAGTCAAGCCGTCGCTCCAGGGGACCGTCCGCCCCTGATACAACGAGCGACGAGGGCATCCAGCGCGAAATGCCCGAGTTGGGATTCGATGCCGAACGTCTCGTGGGAAACCTTTCCACTCGACTAGGGGCAATCGAAGAAATGTGAAACCCGTCTGCAAATGGTGCAAGTTGCAGATGCGGTCTAAGGCTATTGCACCAAAGTGATGATCCGCCGACTCAGTGAAGACAGCAGGCTGGGTCGAGTCGAAGAATGATACTGCGTCAACTGTATGGATTATATGAATTACATGATATCGAAATGGAGTGAGCGAAGATGGAGCTGGAAAGCAAGAAGCCCATTCGCCGGGTTAGCGTTGGAGTCGGCGCGAAGTCTCAGCCGAGTTGCCGAGCTGAGCGGTTAAGCCCAGCTGGTCTGACAACGACCCAGTGAAGAAGCTGAGGGAGGTGATGGTGCGTCTGCACAGATTGAGCGAGTCAGCCGTCGATGCCGAAGCTGTGTTGACTCGTCACTGGGTCCGTGAACACGCTACCCACTGGGGCACTGTGTGTGATATGCGGCGGTACGATCGACACCCTTGGGTACGACCGCCGGGACCTCCGACCAAGTCAATGAACGATCTTCCCGTTGCGCGCACAAGCTGAATTGGAGCGCAGGTGTGCTGACGCGGAGCTGTGCTGATCTGGAGCCACGCTCAAGCAGGAAAGCCGAAGCGAAGTCGAGTTCGCACGATGTTCCAGTGAGGCCATAATCACTCCATGTTTACCAAGAGGCGGCTAGCCGAGTCGGTCGATGCGCGGCGGCGGTGAACAAACCGAAGTTGCAGCAAAGCTGGAGTTGAGCAAAGCTCAGCGGAGGCACGCTGGGCAGGCGCGTCGCCGAGAATGTCGACGTGCCAGCGATCTCGAACGGGAGCCGAGATGGTCCGTAGCTGAGCAGAAGCAGACACCTGCTTTGAAGATGAACTCCGACTTCACTCGATCCGACGTAGGGCTACCATCGCGTTTATCTGCGGTCAGCCTAAAGCCGAGTCGGTGAAATCGCCGAGTCACGGCGTCGCAAAGGTGTACCCAACATCCAAAGCTGGACTGAAGAGGAATGGATTCCACGCGGCCGCGGTCCTATTCACATTGAGCCAACATGAGCAGAGCTTGGTCAGGGGTCGAGCATAGCCAAGTCGAAACACCCCTTCAAAGCGCTGATACTTCCGCTAAGGGACAGAGCTGGTCAGGCAGCCAGCTGTGTCGTTCGCTCAGTCGAGCTTGCCTCTCACCTTGCTCAACTGGGCTAAGCTGAAGCGGAATCAATTCCAGGTGAACATGAGTCGCGCTAGACCCGGGTTGATTCGTGGCAGAGCCACAGAACATGGGGATCAAGTGGCGCCTAGGCGAATTGCAGCAGAGGTTTGTCTTGAATCCGAGCTGAATCGGGATCAGGTACAAGTGCAGCCCAGGTCAGCACCAACTGAGTTGAACCACAGTCAAGCTGAAGCCGAGATGCGTTCAAGCAGAGCCGAGTTGAAGCGAGACAGTGCACTCTGCGTGGAAGTAGTTTGACACCGAGATGTCGTGAAGCCGAGTTCAACCAAGCCGTAACGGAGCCGAGTTCGAGCAACGCTTCGAAGAAGCGCTGGTCGTTGGAG